TATTGCTGTTTATTTAAATGTTTTTTGTCCGCATTCCTTTCATAGACACAGATCCAGCAGATGTACTGTACGTAGGTAGTTCTCAGATTAAAATGTCCGAAAGTCACAAGGACAATCAATAATTTTATTAAAATTTCTATGAATTTTGTGCAGCCATATTGTTTTTAACGAATTTCGTATAGCCGAAACTATGGGTTTATTTCATGTAATGTAATTTAGTTATTAATCCTTGATTTCGCTTGTTTTCGTGTTTTACCTGTTGTTTGTGTTATTTATTATTATATTATAAAGTTTATGTTGTTCGGGTCACTTTTCATATAGCACCGAAGGTGCGAATCTTAACAATATGCACTACTGGTTCAAAACTACCCTTGATGCAAGTAGTTCAGCACCAAGACCGTTGGTCGGTAAATGTTTAGGCAGGAATTCTAGGATGGCGAATGATTGGACTTTTTAATTATCTGAATGAAATGAACTATCCATAATTTCCAAGAGCTGAATTGCCAATTTTGTTAGGGGATAGATGAAATTGCATTTGTTGCAATTTCATCACCTGAATGCAGTTGGTGTAGTTGATGCAGTTGGTGCTGTTGTGCCGCTTATTTTGCTATGAATATGTGGAGCTTCTTGGATACCACTTACTTTAGTAGATAGAGACTCTGGAGTGACATATTTCCATAGCCAACTAGGTCATCGGATTCAATATGCCTGGGTTTTAATTTATGGGGTCGAATGAAGAACGAACATGCATAAATAACAATTAAATGGTATCAAAATGAAATTAAAATTTATGTTTTGATATTTTGACGTAGCTTATTACTATAATTTTGTAGACCTTATAAGCCTAGACGACATTCTATTATGATTTATTTTCTTAATATCTTCCGTTAGAGAGAAGATAGAAAGTTGCGGTTTGCGCTAATACTTTAGAAATTTTGTGCTCTATTTAACTGTGTGAAGAGAAATATAGCTTCGTATTTAATTTTTTTTATGCAAACGCACAATATCTGTTGTGATGTCAAACAGCGCCCTCTAGCTACCACGAAAATTTATGGAAACAAAATATATACTGGAGATCATTAAGGAAGAAAAGCTCTTTTAAACGAGCCCCAGTTTGTTTAAATCGGCTAACTCAAACCAGAGATATCCTTATTTTAATAAAAGCAAGTTTAACCACAGAACAGATACAAATCAGAAATTTCACTGATGGGATTTCCGTTGTCAAGATTTAATTTTTTATGTTATATGCGCGCAGAGGGATCAAAACCATGCGCAAGGTTTTTGTGAGGTTGCCAAGGTGACCCATAATTCTCAGTACTTGAAAAATGTATTTTTATATTATAATCTCACGGCTACATTTCTTCACTCATTTAGCATTTCTTTCACGAAATAAGTAACGCAAGTATACAAGAATTACCGAATATACATAATTATGAGGAATTTGATATATTTGAAAAATTAAAGTATGCCTAAAATTAACATTATTATTACGAAAAACACTGCATGGCAACGTCCCTTGAGTGAAGCATTTTGCGACGTAGTACGAAATGTAACAAAAATTTACCTCATTTTCTGCACAACAAAGTTAAAAAATATTATCATTGAAATATTTAAACCAAAACAATTGAAATTGATTTTAGAATAAATAAAACCAACGGATATCGTCAATTTTGCACTCTATTTTGCTTTGCTGCTAAATACAAAAAAATTATTATTGCAATGGTAATTAAAGATTCAGGAATTTCTTTGTTAAAATCTGACAACTGACAACGTTGCTCAACATTTCTAACTATGATTTCTAACCTAAAAATATGAATGTCATATGAACGCAAGGTTATTAGATTCTATAGGTTACCTCAGTCGGCAGATTTTAGGCGAGGGGTGCGCGGAGGACGGCGGGTGTGCGTGACGTAGTTCTGATACCCGCCGTATCTCTTTTTAATACCTTCCATTTCTTTCTTTCTCGTACGGTTTAATGGCAATGGCCGTTGGTTTGGTAGTGGTTTTGTATCGTTTTTGTATTATTTCTTTATTTTCTAATATTTCTTTAAGTGTTACTGGTTAAGTTTATTGTGGTCTGTGAACTACACATATTTAAGTACTTTGTGGACAATTTATTATTTGCGTAGATCTCAGGAACTGGCAATTAAGTGAGTATAATTACTTATATAAATGTTCAGCCTAGAGAAACGTTTATCGGCATGTTTATACTAATTTTTAATAACTATTTTTTTTTTTGAAAAAAAAACAATAAGATTTAATATTTTTAGAATACTGGGAACTCGGTGTACAGTTACTACTTGTCAAAATAGACTAGAAAAGGCTAAACATTTGGAAAAATTATTAAATTTCATGCTTTCCCGAAGAATACCGAAATTACTCAAATATGGGTGCAGATTCAAAGGGTGTAGAGTTGTCGTAGAGATGGGAAATGGAATGTAGAAACTTGTAGGATTTGTTCAGATCATTTTACCGATGACGATTATGAAAGAGATCTTCAAGTAAGAGGAATTATTAGGACTTGGAAACTAAGAAAAACATTAAAAGCAATTGGTAAATAGTTCAAAGCTTTTCGGCTTTTTTCTAATATAATATTTTTAGTTATATAGGTATGAGTAGAATCTTATGTAATAGTAAAAAACAGTCAGTCCACCTGACAAAATTGATCCATTGAGGCAAAAATGAGTTGAACAAAGAAGAACAGAAGTGGCGGTGGAGGAATTACTAATGAAAAATTTCGAGGAAAGCAATGTAAATGTTGCCGAGGAACACAGTACCGTGGCATCTGGAGCTGTTATTACTTGTGTTGGTCATCCAATGTATGATGAATTATTGTTAAAATATAATGAATTGAAAACTATCCTATCTCTAAAGGAAAAATTATTGATGGCAGAGGACCAAAAAATTAAGAAATAACAAAAACAACTTTTAAAATCTCAACTACACTTGAAGCAGAAAAGTCCTATAAAACAGTAGAATACTAAGTCGGTTAGTTTATTTATAAATTTTAAATTCAACTTTTGTTCTAAATTTAAACTTTAAGTTTAAAGAAAATAAAAAAGAAAGCTAAGAATTTTTTTTTACAATGTAAATTATTTTTATTTATATACATATTTAGAAATTAATTATACAAACCATGTCGTAAAATTGGTATTTCTGAATTGTTTAAAACTGTTTGTACTAAATTTGCATATACATCATTTATATTACAAATAAATAATTTATTGCTTTGATTAGGTACTTTGATTTATTTATTTCAATAACTATACAAATTCATATATTACTAAATAAAAATGTAAGGGTATTGATAATAATTTCCAAATATTAAATTTTATTTATTGTATCTATTTTTATAAATATATACCAAAATATTTATGAAAAAGAAAATCAAGATTTATTCACGATAAGATCCTTTTACAAAATCTTCAAAATTAATTAACTTTTTACGTTTTAATACATTTACACATTTCATTTAAATTATATGAAAATAATTTAATTTTTTACATTTTAGAAAAAAATATAAAACATTACAAAATAATACCAATCTTTTTGTATTTTTCATTATTTTAAAGAGACGACAAAATACAAATTTAAACTGTTAGAACGAGAGAGACAAAATCCATATAACTTCTAGGCTAGACAAAGAGGAACTGGGTCTCGGGCTGACGTCACGCGCTATGATTGGTTGGGCTTAGGTGAGGTAACCTTTAGGGTGCAGCCACACTATCCTAAAAAAGGCGTATCGGCGTAACGGCGTAATGATATATATATATATATATATATATATATATATATATATATATATATATATATATATATATATTGATCATTCAGAAATTTTATCTGTCAAATTCATCTGTCAAAAATTTCAGCCAATAGAATTACTGGAAATCGATTTAAGGTCATTACGCCGTTACGCCGATACGCCGCGCCGTTTTTAGGATAGTGTGGCTGCACCCTTAGAGTATAATAACCTTGATATGAACGGGCGGAAAAGTAAATTAACCGAAAAGTAAATTAAAATAATTTTAATTTACTTTGTGGTGTGTTTGTGATATTTTGTGACTATATTTGTTTGACAATTTTGTTTACAATGGGCGTTGGTTACTGCTGTGTTCCCGGCTGTTTAAGCAATACGGAGGCTGATATGGGTCTTAGCTTCTTTTCATTCCCATTGGATCCAAAAAAGTACATAAATATTTTTTATCTACACAATAAGGAATGTTTCCTCTAGAATTTTAAACAATCTAGTAAGATTTTTTAGAAATTCTAATGTTTTTTACAGACTCATGTATGTACAATCATCTATTAAATAACAAAAAATATTTTAATAAATTCTAGATGTTCTGAGTGGGTTAGGGCTCAAACACACTGACGACCAGGTCGCACAGGCCAGGCCGCAGCTACCTCTAAAACCATTAAATCAAATGATATAGCGCACACTAACGTCCTGGCCGTCCGTTGGTCGTTGCGACCAGAAGACTGCACAGAAATATTATTATTTTCTGCCGCTTGTTACCGGTTTTCTTCCAAATTAATAATTTTTTAGATGAAATCCCTCAAATTCAAGGCACAATATTTTATTTTCTATAAGATATAGTGTTTTAGCACGTTTTAGTGTAGTTTTTGCACACGTGCAGAAAATCCAAAGAAATAGTATACAGACTGGATCAAAGGTAAAGGATCAAAGGTCGCGCGTACACAATACTTTTTGTTTGTTGTGAATAGCAACTTCGCTTTTTAGTTAACTAGGATATTTTAACATTTCTGAAACAATATTTTCTAATTGGTAAAACGTAAAAAATCGTTAGATTTGACAACTCTGTTGAAACTGGTCGTTCATCTGGCCGCAGCTAAAAACGCAATACATCCGGCCAGCCGAGGCCAGGTCGTTGCGACCTGGTCGTCAGTGAATTCGAGCCCTTAAGAACTGCAACACGCAGGATTTTAGAGCAAAATCACCTGTAGATTTGCATAGAGGGTATAGAGTTTGTGGAAAACATTTTCAACCTACCATGTTTGCGGGAATGTCTCAAAGCCGTCTAAAGAAATTTGCTGTTCCAACTTTATTTATGTCAGTTGGGTTCATAAGCATTGTTATTCATTTTACTTGTTATTTTTTTCAAATCATCAGTTGCTTGTTTATCTGCACAATCGATTTATACACTTGCACAAACGAACATTTAAATAAACAAAAATTGTTTATAGATAGGCATTTCACCAGTTTCAGTCTGTTCGTGGTGGTTCTGTGTAATATTTTCAATATTTTTATGACAAATACTATATTACTGAAAAACAAAAACTTTTGACAATAACATTTAGCTTTCAATTTTGCCTCTTAAAATTGTGTTTGTGTTATGCTCTTTGAATAAGAAGACTAAGGAAGGAGCATATCAAAAATCTTAGGTACACCGCGATGGGCCTCAAATATGGCCGACTTAAATTCCGGTTTATCAGTGCCGTTCTAATTTTATTTAAAAAATGTAAAACTATGATGTAGGGTAGACGTGGGGTAGACTCAATAATTTGTTATTTTATTTTACGTTGTGAATAAATGTTGGTAGTTATTAAAATTGTTATAAAAATATATAATTCTAATAAAAATAGATAAGTTATAATAAGTATTTATTAACACAAACATCCGATACGCTACTGAAGCAGGTAAGTCAAATTAACGTATCAAAATTCTTTGACATCTGATCTTTGACAAGTAGTAAATAAAAGCTAAAATGCAAGAAAATATATAATTTAGTTAATTTAAGTGAATTTCATAAATGATCGGTTTACTACACGTATGCATATATTATATAGTCACTTACTAGCGAAAAGTTGTTCCATTATTTCACTCAATTTTTGCCGAGATCTACCGCACGCTAAACAACCAACTATTTTAGAGTCTTTTTCGATAAATCGCGATAATGTCACTGTTAATTTAAGTTCTGCCACAATTTCCATCTAGATTTACTACCTTTATACAACTATCAGTAGTAGAATAAATAATAAATAACATAAAATAAGCTCCGTAAAGACTGACAAATTCACAAAATTTCAAATCAAATTCAAATCTGTCAAATGAATCGTCAAACATAACTGTCAAGGATCCCCACCCTAGAGTGCTTTTATGGTGCTTTTTCCGCCTACCATGCATGAATACATGGATAGCATTATGCTCCTTCCTTAGTCTTCTTATTCAAAGGTTATGCTCAAAAAAATTAAATAAATATATTTTTTTGTAGACAATTCCATGATGGAAGTTGAAACTACTATTCCTGCTGTTCCTGTTACATCTGAAGGTGAGTAAAATACTATTTTTTTAACCCTTTAAACACAATGCAATAGGGTATAGAATTCCAGTTTTCAATAAATATTTTATTTTATGTTTTCAGCTGTTTCAGAATTACCGTAATCTAGATACCGTAAACTACGGCGTATTTTGATTGCGTTGGTTAGTCTTTGGTGTGAGTTTGACTAGTACAAAATTATTAAAAATGATTATTTATTTAAAATAAAAATAGAAAACAAAAAAAGAGAATTCAATGAAACTGACAACATTGCTTTTTATTCTGCCGCTATCATGTCAAATCAAGCGTTAAAATTCTCCATAACGTCAAATATGTGCCAAAAATTACTAAAATCAAATTAAAATATTTTAAAATTCTGCGCATAATCTCCATTTATTTTTATTTAAAACTACTACTAAAAATGGTTACTTTATGGTAAAAAAAAAGAAAAATGCAAAATTCGTGTGTCAGGATAGTTCACCGGACCCCTACTTCACTAGATGTAATTGCTATTCCATCAACATTCAAGGAAGTTACATCCTTAGGTTACATCTGAAGGTGAGTAAAATACTATATTCTATTAATATATATATATATATATATATATATATATATATATATATATATATATATATATATATATATATATATATATATATATATATATATATATATATATATATATATATATATATATATATATATATATATATATATATATATATATATATATATATATATATATTAATACACACCTTTTAAACACAATGCTGAATATAAATCTCAACTGCCATACCAATATAGGGTATAGAATTCCAGTTTTCAGTAAATATTTTTTTATGTTTTCAGCTGTTTTAGAATCTACTTCACCAGATGTAATCGCTATTCCATCAACATCCAAGGAAGTTACATCTGAAGGTGAGTAAAATACTTTATAAACACAAGGCTAAATACAGGGTGGCGCACCTCATTCGCCTTGGTTGATTATACGAAAACGTAAAGAAATATTAATTAAATAGAAACAAAATATTTTATGGGTATATGTGGAAAGGCAATGTACTTATTTTGAAATGTACAGGGTGTGTCCGAACTAAGATCCATACCAAAGTTATATTTTTTCTTATGGTACACACCCGGTATTTTATTTCATTTTTGGATTCTTGGACATAAAATAAGGTATTTATTATAAGGGTTGAATATGTTTATAAGCTTAGGTTTTTGAGATATTTAAAGACATTTAAATATGCATGTTATAAAAACAAAGTTTGTCAACACCCTGTACATTAATTTTTAAGAGTTAATTCTTGTGCTGACTTTGAAGCCAGAGAAATAAACTTTACTAAAAAATGTATTGCATCCTTAAATGTATACAGGGGTATCAAAAATTGCTGGTCTATTTTAAATATTTACTTTACATAAAAACTTCGTTATTTCAAATACAACACTATGTATTTTTTAAAATAAGTCGAAGCAGATTTAAATGCTCTTTCAAACTATATTAGGATTTCCTATACCTATCTGGCTCAGATTTTGAATAAAGAGCGACTTTTCAATAAAATGGCAATCAAGATGGCTGGTGTCGTCATGGCAATTTGCTAGTGACAGTTAGTAGCTCTTTTCAAAATCTATATTAGTTTATGGACTTTATTTAAATTTATAACAGTTTATTTTTATTTAATTTACCTACAATAATTTAATAAGTATTTATTTTATCAAGAAAAATAAAGAAGTAGTTATTTGATTTATATTACGATGACTTGTAGATATATTGGATTTTCTATAAAAGCGCCAACTAAGACAAATTCATTTTCTTCACTTCCAACGACAGGTTTCTGTCTAGTAGGTTTCTACATCTTTCTGTTGTCGTACAATCAACTGAGGCGAATGAGGTGCGCCACCCTGTATAAATCTGTACTTCCATACTAATATAGGATATAGAATTCCAGTTTTCAATAAATATTTTCTTTTGTAGTTTGTTTTTATAATATTTAGAGAAGATCAATATTTCAAATAGATAAATAATATTTTTTTCTTTCTGGTTTGTAGAGATTTTTCACAACAGACACTTACATCCCTTAGTGCAGACAGTCGAAGAAAACATTATTATTACAAAAGGTTACAAATTAGAAGTTTGAAAAGAAAGTTGGAATTTCATCCGAAGACTGACAAAACAAATGTTACAAATAAAGACTTTATAGATTTCTGTAAGGAACACTCCTCTTGGTCAATGGCTAATTTTATTGAACTTTGCTTACAAAATTCCTCAAGGAAATCACATGGATACCGATATGCCAACGAATTTAAACAATCTGCATTAACAATTTATTTTTTAAGTCCAAATGCATATTATACATTTTTAAGAAAGCCACTTTGCTTACCTTCCAAGAGCATTCTCCATAGATTAACTAACAACTGGGAAATATATTCCGGATTAAATAAATTTGTTTTTGAGGCAATAAAAACTAAAACTGCATCTATGCAAGATATGGATAAGGACTGTGTGTTATGTATAGATAAGTTTAGTTAGATCATAGATATTTATCTATTCTTTTTTTTTATTTTTCATTTGTATTAATAAATTTTAGGATCATTTACATTTAAGTAATTGTATTAGATTTTGTACCTAATATCACATTGCTAGGATTATATGTATAATTTTTGCATATTTATAATAACAAATAAAATGTTATTTTATTTCAGTCAAATTGTTTTTATTATGTTCTGTCTACATTTTCAAATGAAGGTTTGTATTGAAAAAAATTAAAATTGCTGAATTATAAATTCATGACAGCGTCAAGCTTATACTGGGACCCCGAAATTTACGTAAACAGTCCCAAACTGCAGTTAAAAGTCGCTTATTCCTATAAAAAATTCACTACAAATTAGGTTACTGCAGCAAAATCTTTATTACTTATTTCAAATCCTGCATTTTTTCATAGACCCCTTTACACAAGTATAATATTAATACCTTACTACTGACGTCTTATCCATTTCAATTTCCTTACCTAATTTTAATAAAATAGCATATTATCTAATAAATCAAGTTAGGATGCAAATATCTTGATGTAAGCAAAACCCGCAATATGCATCATACTGCAACAAAACCCGCAATATGTATCATACTGCCACAAAACCCGCCTTGTCCGAATTATTTTTGTGATTTTTCTCTTTAAAAATTAAATATTTTTATTTCTAGAAAAACGAGATACAAAACAATGAACACGTTTTTTTTGTAAAATAACGCTTTAAACATTTGAATCAATTGGCATGATTTTTCGTATTATTTTTACACATTATTTATTTTGTCACTACTAAATATTACTTTTTTCAAATAAATACTGTTAAAAAACGAAATACGCTCCTGTCACGATTCACACGTATCTGAGTTCGACCCTGGCTCGTTTAAAACCGTCAACTAATGATCAGCTGTGCCGCGCGCAGGAGGATGAAATCTGTGCGCGACGAACGAAATTCTTACAACACACTTGAAAGGCACCGACGTTCAGTGAACTTTCTGATTTGTATCTGTTCTGTGGTTTAACCTTCCCCCCCCCCACTTTATTTTATGAGATAGAGCAAAATATTCTATATCCAAAAAATTACAAATTTTTCGATGATTACAATAGTAATATTACATCTGTATTTCTGTAATGTTTTTTGAAACGCTTTTAAATTTTTTTGATTCCATTTGACCATTGATTCCACGTCAAATTTATAAAAATAATATCGAAGGATAAAAAAAACATTAATGGGAATATTATTGTTCTATATTATTCCTAAAAACTTAAAATGTGTAATAATTAAAATATAATTTATTATATTAAAATAGGTCCATCTCCTGTTTCACAAAGCCAAACATTTCTGAAATATCCCAAATAAAGAAACAACTACTAATAACTGGCCAAGATCAGAGAGCCAGGTATTAAAACAGATGTTTATCGATTTGAATTTGTACGTTCGGCATCAATCGGGTGAAATCGAAACTCCTTCGGCTCGATACGTTTGCGTTTTGTACGTACACACGCAAAGATGCGTATCATGTATCTGTAAACGAAAGTGAATTTCTCACTGTGCGAGCGTACTTGTCAAACGATACGTTTATGTCTACGTCTTTGGCCATGCTTTAACTGAAAAAGAAACAACCAGACTGGTTTATCGAAAATCAACGACATATACAGGCTTTGTTGGAACAAAAACATAAAGCACACCAAGCAGTCACTGCAAATCCACACAATCCAAGGCTGGTGAACAACTTTAAAGCAGCCAACAACATGCTTCGAAGAAACCTGCGCCAACTAAAGGATAACTGGTGGTCACAAAAAGCAAATCAGATTCAAGAGTACGCCGCGCATCACGACTATCGTAAATTCTTCGAGGCTGTAAAAGAAGTATACGGTCCAACTAAGAACGTAAGCTACCTAATCAAGGCACAAAACGGTGAACTTCTAAAAGAGGAAGAGCAAATCAGAAATCGCTGGAAAGAGCATTACAGCCATATCCTTAACCAAGACAATATCCCCAATATGCAAGCACTAAACACAATACCTCAGTATAACAGCATCGATGTATTAGATATCCCAGTAATGGAACAGGAAATAAAGACCTCCATAAAACAACTTAAAAACAACAAATCGGCTGGCTGTGACGCGATTTCAGCGGAAATCTATAAGTGTGCAAGTAAAGAACTTATTGGTCATCTTAAGGCTCTCTTCGATGTCATATGGGAAAGCGGAGAGGTACCTCAGGACTTTCACAACGCGAATATAGTGAAAATATTTAAGAACAAAGGAAGTGCATCAGATTGCGGAAACTACCGAGGAATTTCACTACTGGTTATCGGAGGAAAAGTTCTCGCAAAAATTATGTCAAACCGCCTTCACCCACATATAGAAAAATCCTCCCAGAATCGCAAACGGGCTTTTGCACCAACCGCGGTGCCGTTAATTCCATATTCTCCGTCCGCCAACCACAGGAAAAAGTAAAGGAACAGCAGAGTAAACTTTATGTTGCGTTCATCGACCTAAGGAAAGCCTTCGACTCTGTAAATAGAGATGCATTTTGGGCAATTATGCAAAAGTTCGGAGTGTCCAACAAATTTCTTACTGTGTGTAAAAGCCTGCATAACAACAAGTCGAGAGTGTCACATCATGGATCACTGAGCGATCCCTTCCTGATAAATACAGGAGTTAGGCAGGGATGTGTCCTAGCTCCTCTCCTATTCAACATATTCATGACAGCGCTCTCTATTATAGTGGACAGCAAACTGCAGGAAAGAGGAATGGGTGTTAGATACAGGTATGACGGCGGTCTGTTGAACATAAAAAAGACTCAGGGCAAAAACACGTATAAAATTCATCACAGTACTCCAATACGCTGATGACTACGCTCTAGTTGCAAATACGTTACAGCAATTACAGGAAATGCTGAACACATATACCTGGGCATACGAGACTTTGGGCCTTAAACTGAACATCGATAAAACAAAAATCATGTGCGCTCCCCCGGAAAATCATAACAGCGCTATAAAAATCGGAGAAGAACTACTGGAATATGTATCGGAATTTAATTACCTCGGCAGTTTGATTTCGGAAAAGACAAATATCGACTCTGAAATTCAGCACAGAATCAGCAGCGCCTCAAGAGCATTCTGGAAATTAAAAGACAGGGTTTTCTACAATCATGACTTGAGCACAAAAACGAAATTTGCAGTTTATCGAGCAGTAATAATCCCCACCATGTTATATGGAAGCGAAACCTGGGTGCCGTACCACCGGCACACGAGCGCATTAAACAAGTTGCAACAGAGACACCTTAGACAACTGTTAAGAATCAAATGGTACCACCATGTCTCAAACGTATCAGTCCTTGAAAAAGCAAACTGCGTGAGCGCATTTAAAATTTATAAAAGTAATATGGAAGGATAAAAAAAATTAATGGAAATTATATTATTGGAAGTACCCACCATTAAAAACTTAAAATGTAAACAAATGATTAATTTAATTTATTATGTTAAAATAGGCCCATTTCATGTTCCACAAGGCCAAATATTTCTAAGATATCTTAAATAGAGTGCGTAGAGAGTACGAGCAAAAGGATACTTGAAAAGAAATGTTCAAAATCTAGTATCTATCCCGATACGTTGCTCTGTTAGCTTTAAGATCTACGTACACCGATGTACAGAAAGCGTTGACAAATATCATATTAACATCCGATAAAAAAACATAAGTTTATGAAGATAAATGCGGAGGCTAAACCAATTAAAACATGTACGAAAACAAAACGAATGTACGAAATATAATTTTTTAAATAATTTTAGAAAATACTATTATCTCTCAGATGTGGTTTCAAAGGTCTGAGAAAGTACTTAAAAGGGTCTCGAATCTTAGAAATCAGTTCGATCAATTGAAAAATGAAACTGATAATTTTGCAACTGAGTTAAACATTACAGCACGATTTAGTAGTAAAAGAATAAAACGATCAAAACTATTGTAACCAGTAATTTTCCAAGGCGAAGGAAAATGGCAACATGGCGACGGACACGGCGAAGTAGCATGGTGTTATTTTTATTAATTTAAGGCGTATAAATTGTATTAATTAACTTGCAATAAAGGTGTATTTACAGTTCAGAAGCGTGATAACTAGCGATGGGAACTATCGAATGAATTAGACTATCGAACGGTTACTGAATGAATTATTTCAACTATCGAATGGTTTTATTCGAATAAAATTATTCATTCATTTGTATACTTGTAAGCATTGTAAGTACATTGTAAGCATATGTGACAACCTCGCCATGCGACTAAATGGTTATCGTTGAGTGGGACTATCGAATGCTTTTGGTAAATGAAATTGAAATTTAGTATTCGTTTCATTTTTGTGTGCGTCAGTGCATTATTAGTACTTCCAAATTTTTATAACTTCGCCTTGTAAATACTGTGCTATTTTTGCGTTTATTAAAATATTTAAAATACTAAAATAGTAGTTTTTTTTTTAAATTGACGATTGTGTACAGGTCAAGAACAGTTAACCTAATAGGACTGCTCATTCAGTTAAAGTGTCCGCCAG